GCCAGTTTCAGGAGAATTTAAATCAAGTGGACTTCAAGAGGAACTTTACCCACAAATGTAATGTCTCTCAAAACAGTTACTTTCAAGGCATGCCAACTCTCAGGGCTTGTTCACACCATCCAATGCGTTCAGGGCAAGGTTCTGACATTGGCATGAAGGGTACCACCATGCCCCCACCCGCAACAGAACGTGGAAAACATTTATTTATGCCATCCATTGTGTTCATGGCATGGCACCGTGCCCTGAACCCATTGGATGGTGTGAACAAGCCCTCAAGGTTGCCAGTGTGCCTATTGCAGATTTCAACTAAACTTTCAACCCCAACAAATGGCCGGTGCCATAGCTGTTCACATTTGCAGTACCATGGCAACTGCAATCCAAATAGAGGAGAAGATGGCACCTTCCTTGGCTATTAGACCTCTCACACTGAGAGTATTGCTGCAGCTGATTCAGTACGACAAGAAGCTTCACCAAAAAAGTCCCATTCATTCTTATGGCCCCGGAAGATGGGTTACCATAGACAAAGGTGACACGTTATTCTGTTTTACACTTCTTTTAGAGGCATGCTAGTGCATAAGAAAGTCTTTTTAAAGGGCTATAAACACATTTACAGAGCAATTTGTAAAAAAGAAAATGGAAATAAATGTGAAGTTCTTACACATGTAGACCATTTAGATCACTAGTTTCATTATCTCAGAGAGCAAAAGATCACACCTTACAATATCTCCCAACTTTGGAACTCATGTGGCGTGCTTTGTGCCATGGTAAAAATGGATGTGGTTATACATATTGAGGGAAATGTATCAAAACTGGAGCAGGCAGAATCAGGAGCAGTTATTCATGGCAACCAATCAGCGTCTCTCTTTCATTTTTACAGCTTAACTGAAACAACTCAAAAGAGAAGCTAAATGGTTACTATGGACAACTGCTCCAAATTCTGTCTGCTGCAGTTTTGATAAATCCCCCCCATTGTCTTAGTCTACCTTAACGAAGAACTTATTTAAAAAACATTAAACTACCCAGCAATAAGCAAGCAACTGTTGAGGAAATAAACACTTGGGTCAGTACTATATATATAACATAGTATCTAGCATGCAGGCTAAGGTCTATTTAACATATTACACAGCACATAGAGTGTCAATGCAATGTACAACATTGTGTAGAGCGTGCAGCAGTAAGGAGTATGTATCATGTATATACCGGTATGTGTATATATATATATACATATACATATATATTTATATATACCCTATATTGCTGGTCGGAAGGAGTGTCAGTTTTGCCCTAGTGTCAGTTATGTGCAAAAATAAATAGCCTCTGGTTGGAGGTGGGGGAGTCCCTGGGGTGGTCCCTGGGGTGGTCCCTGGGAACAAGAATATGTCCTTAGATATGGGGGGGGGGTGACTATTGTTGGTGGTCAGTGGGAGGAAAAATGATGGTCATCAGTGGTCATTGGGAGAAAAAAGTTAACACAGTCAATAGTCAGTGAGACTAAAAAATGCCTTGTGTCAGGAGTTAGTTGGAACAAAAAAAAATGTCTGTTGTTAGTGTCTGTGGGAGGAAGATTGCCTTGATAATGGGAGGAAGGGAACAATAGTGCCCAGTGGGTGGTTGGGGTAAACAAAGGTGAAAGCTGACAACACTGACCTTGCACTGCATATCTGGGCTGCTGTTCTCTCTGTGCTCCTCAGCAGAGGGGACCTGAAGTTCTCCATCCGGTCCCCTTCTAGTGATTGACAGCAGCAGAGGGCGGGTGCAATAGCCAGCTTGCTATTGGATATTGCAAATTGAAATAACCAAAAGGTTATCAATTGTTTTCTATTTTATTTTTCTACTTTTCTATTTTGCTCGGCACCACAAAGGTACCGAGCAGAATAGCCGAGCCGAATGCCGCTCAGCCGACCCGAAGCCACCCGGAGCAAGCCGATGTACGGCTCATTTCAGCCGATATGCGGCTGAAATCAGCCATACAAGCCTGAAGTGAATAGCCGAACAGCGTTTGGCTCACTTTACTTCTGGTCGGTTGTTCACTCGGCTGCCTATGGCAGTTTTGTGAGTAGACCCCTAAATATCCAGATTTCCTGAAGTGCTGTATGAGAATCGTCCATTTTCCTCTTCTATGTCACATCCAGATTCAAACCATTCATTCTTTTTGTTTGTATTATTATGTAAGCTCTGCTTCATGTTTTGGGCCTATTCATATATTACACTTATTATATAGAATTATATGTAAGCAATATAAGAACAAATTACTATATGCAACATCTGCAAATACAAAATGTAACGTCTGGTACAACAAAGTGTAACTTAGCCCAAAAACAAAAGTTTAATATACTGCAGTTTACCAATCCTTAGATGTGATGGCTACATTAGTTTTTTTTCCAGGTTTTTTTCCTTTAACTTTAACCTGGTGATCTCTGCAAGGTCATGACATATGGTGAGCCTGGCTGATGAATGAGGTTGCTGTTTTTACCAGCCTAAGCTTCCCTCATGCAGTCGGTGATATTAAGGAGTCAAATAAATGAAGTGGTCTCAAATATTATTTATTCTCCAACATTACCGGGGCTTGCCACATTAGTGTTATACAAGATCTCTCCTTCAGGCTTCAGGACAGCTGGATGTCCCATTGGAAGGTTCAGCTCTGACTCATTCCACCCAAAATGGAGAACCATTTTAGTCATGCATCTACTAATTTCTATCTGGTTGCTTTCATCCACCTTCCACAAGACTCAAAAAATGAGATGGTCATCACTCCATCCTTTTATTTTGATGGAACTGGGGACTATTGTAATTTCAATGACTGAAACAGACCTCCACAGAAGCCCTGGTTCACAGATCAGATGGGAAAAGTCCAAAAAGTTTATTTGGGGTGATCAGTTAAAACACTGGAGCTATGTTCCAAGCAAACAGAATTGCATGCAGTTATGAGCTAATGTGACATGATATTAATGTACTTGTATGTGTGCTTAGTAAAGCATCTGAAGTGTTATCCAGCAGTCCTTCTGTTTCCTAACATCCAACCACTGTCAGGTCTCTATGGCCAGCCTACAGCTTTCTCAGTACTCAACCTTTCCCACCTGGGACTCTGGTGTCAGGGTGACAATATTATGCCAAACTAGGAAACTGAGACATGTTTATGGATACAATAATATATAAATTGATGCTGGTTTAAAGTTTTGTCCCAATGACATTCTGTTGTGTATTGCTGTTATCTTAAACTGCACAGTAATACCAGATAGAGGATGTATCTAATAAGTTCCCTCCAGTGATACACAGACACATAAATATACAGACAATGTAGATACAAATGGTGAGTGTAAATAGCAATTTAAACAATAGGCTCTGCAGTTGGCTCTTGGTCTAAACTGGGAGATACCTTGATAAATATTGTATTTTAGATGAAAAAGTCACCTTGTCTGACATTAAAAGACAACAGCAAAGTAAATCCTCTCAGTCTCCACATCGCTGTCTATGAATCTCTGCAAAGCTTCTGTGCCTCAGTTGTGACTCAATGGCTCATTCACAGCTTTACATTACTAAAACAAACAGTCTAGACAGCTGAATGACAGAATTACCCCTTCTCTCTGGCATTAGCAGATATGCTGTTATCTTCATTTGCTTTTCTCATCCCCCTGCATTTTGATAAACTAATGGTTAGCTTTCCTGTTCGGATTCAACAAAGACCATGCAGGTTTAGCCACTAAGAATAAGCAGAACTCAATGACATCACCGTATCATTATTCTTATTCTCTTCTGACTGATCATGGGGCAATGTCATGCTCAGTAGACATGAGGAGATCTTTAGGCCTTTTAAAAACATTAAACTGATTAAAATGATGTTTGTCTTTTCTATGCCCAAAAATATACCTAAACCGAACAGTACTAAATAGACCCCAACCACTTCTGACTACTCATGTGGCATTCCAGACAGATGTCAGAATCACCTGTACAGCACTACAAGCTAACAAACCCTTCTTAACATACCCAACTGCTGCATAAATATCTAACCAAAATCATATTACACGACACGCGCGCAAGTAAATACATAAAAACGCGCCATGCCTGCGTGAAACCGCGCCATGATGTACGTGTTCGCTTGGTAAATGCATTTCTACGGGTTAAAACGCGCACGCAGCCTGCGCGTGTGCGTGTTGGGCTTTGTAAATCAGCCCCATTGAGTCAAAATTAAACCAAACATGCAGCGCTAATCCCTAAAACCCAAAAAGTGTATATGAACTAAAAATATAAATATTGAGAAATATAATCAGTTATATAATCATATGATCAGTGATATAAACAAAAGTAGTAATTGTAACAAATATATAACATACACAAAGTGATATATCAGTGTATCCAGTGCTAATAAGCACATATAATAGTAAAAGTTCACGTGACCACAATATTTCTCCACTCTCTGAATAAAGCTTCCTCGGTCTTCTTTCATACTTTGTGTCCTGTAAATAGTTTAATTTTCCACCCTCCCAATTGCTCACTTTTCCTGGTGATGCATCTGAATCCTTCAGGGACATTCACTTCACACGTTCTAGAAGGCTGCAGGTCAGTTCTCCTTCAACATTGTTTCTTCAACGGGGCACCTAAATTTAACCTGTACTTTGCCCATGTGCTGCCTTTACTTACTTTCCTTTCAGTATCTCACCATTCCGTTTTTCTGTGATAGACAGAAGAAGCCTTTTGTAAATCGCTTAGGTCAGAGCTTACACAGAGCTAAGGGTTCTTTCCCTGCCCTCACTGGCTGCCTATGCATCCAGAGGTACATCAAGGGAGAATGAGAGGCCGAAGCTCACATTCAATTTTAATATGTCATGCTCTTATTGGTAACTGCTCTACTCTCCTTTATTCCGTTTTCATTAGTCAGCTTTACTGTATAATGTGTGCATACATTTCACAAATTATTTGTTGCCACTAAGCCGCCAGTGACATGCATAAAGTGCCTGGACACTGATAACTCCACCACACTTTAGCCTATCACTTGTGCTTACCTCTGAGGGCTGCTGGTGCTGGGATGCAAAAACCAAAAATCCTCTTTCTGCTTTAAAGGCATTTTCCACAAGACTTGCCTAATAAAAAGAGAAAAAAAAGACAGACAATGTCACATGAAATATATAAAAAAATGCATAAAAAATCTCGTTAGCATAATTTATCTCTTTACTCACATTAATACACCTGCAACTGCAGCCAAAAGTGAGGGTACATCTCCCCAGTGCAAACACAAACAGCAATAAAAACCTAAATGTTATTGTGATCGTGAGTAGCACTGGATGACTCAATAGGTTCTATAAAATCATAGTTTTGATATAGGAGTTTATTGGCAGCTTTATTGTTAAAGGACTTTTGCAGGTGGCCCTTAAATAGACATGCAGACATGATAGAGAATAGAAGAGCCACACCCGTCATAACATCCAGAGTAAGATTTTAAAAAAATTTAACAAGTTAATGTATTTTGGGGGTTATAAGAGTTTCCCATCTTAAGGACTAACTGAACTAGGTCAACCTTTTGGGTTTAGGTTGACCACAAACTCAACCCGAACTCAAGCCGTTTGCAGATCTAGCAACCAATTACTAATCATGCACTTCCTGGTTTCTGCACACTGGTCCTGTAGCTTACAAGTGCCAAAATTGGGGGTTTTATTATATGCCAGTCTCGTACCTATAAAAATCAGGGATCCCAACAGCTTTTTGTTAATGTGTGTGGGGATTTGAAAAGATAGGGATAGCTGACCGAGTGTTTGCAGGGAGAGATAGTTGCTGTTACACAGCACTGCTAGCCTGTGCTATAAACAGTTCTATAAAGTGCACAACATTTATTTTTTGTTCTGTGAAAAATATATACTTTATGTGGATTGTTCAGATAAAACTTGGAAGCTGTGTGTCATTTTAAAATGCAGCCTACACCAAATTCCGCAATGCCGTCTATTAACTCTGTACATTATTTATTTTGTGTGTGAAATATATACACTTAAAAATTGATTTTTGGAATGAAAACTTGCATGCTTTGTGTCATTTTTAATAGGCAGCCTAATCCAACTGCTGAAATGCTGTCTATAGAGTCTATTTAATACTTATTCCTGTTTCTGCAATATATACATACTCTAATGTGGTTTTTTTTAAATTAAAACCTGCATGCTGTTTGTCATTTTTAAAATGCAGCCTACTCCAACTGTTGCCGTGCTGTCTATGGAGTCTGTACAATATTTCTTCTTTTTTTCTGTGAAATATATACTATTGGATATGAATTTTGGGGATAGAAAGCTGCATGCTGTGTGTCCTGAAAATCTGCCTACTTCAACCCTACCTATGAATCCTGTGCAATAATGCTAGACATTGTCAATGAAAGGATAGACTCTTTTAAATAACAAAACCTGACTGGTCTCTGTAAAATGGTGGCCAGATAAAAAGGCAGGCATACTGTATATGGAGTCTATACATTCTGTATTTCTGGCTTTTGTGTAAGAAATAGCACAGTCTAAATTTTATTCTGGGATTAAACCTGCATTGTTTATTCCTCTTCAATTGTGGCCTAGTAAAAATGCTTACATAAAGTGTGGGTCTGTACAATATTTTTGGCGGTTAGTTCTACTCTAATTTTTAAGTTCATAATAAAATCTGCCTCATCTCTCCATCTCAGATTGCGGCCCAATCAAGCTGTTTACATACTCCCCAGCTGCTGTGCTATATGTCTGGCTATTGTCTCTGAAATCAGCGGGGAGAGAGATCATCTGTGAAGAACGAATCCAGAAGCGACAAGCTTTTAGAAACTTACAGAGCTCTCATTCATGATCTGAGCTTGATTAGCTTTGTTGAAGTGCAAAGGTGACATTAGAGGTCACCTTAGAGAAAACCACCCCTGTGTAATCAAGAAGGGGGGGGGGGAGGTGTTCTGTAGTCCTTGGAGATAGCTGGTAACAATACAAATGCTAGGAGTGTTATACAGGCAGAGAGAACAGGATGTTATTAACTCACAAGACTTCTAGCAGGATCAAGAGGTATTTTCTTATCGACACAATATAACAAAACATTTTTAATGTGTTTTAACAGACCAAAAGGGAAACATTTATTTTTAAGAATCTCATACACTTTAAACAGAAACAAAATATATTTTATATAATAAGAATAAGTAGCACCATAAGCACATTTAGAATTACATAGCATCTGATGACGCTTCTCACTTGTGTTTTATGTTGGCTGATGCTTTCCATACAGTTATCTCACTTGGTCCTCCCAATGGAGCGCAGTTGATGTGAGGATCTTGCTGAGTACAATAGAGCAGCGAACTGTAGTTCAGACCTCATTGTTTACATTTCTGCTGACAGCATGCTATGAACTTATTCCAGTTCACTAGGTCCTAAGCCCTCAGTGACACATCTACTGGGTAGTGGATGTAACAGAAAGAGTAGCCTTATTACAATACACAAATGACATAACCACTCAACCTCTATATTTGATGAACATTTCCAATTGTTTTATATTTCTGACGTGAGAATAATATATGAGATATTTTGAAAACGCATATCAATATACTGAGATAGTAGTGATATCAGTTTATAATTTAAGCACATTGATGCCATGAAAATCATGAACCTTGTTAGCACATGAGATATAAGAGGCCTGTAAAATGATGCCACAGGACTCATTCAGACCTTTTTTTATTATGACTGTGAAAGCAGCATTTACTACCATACTTTAATTTGTAGAGAACAGAAAGTGAAACATGAATTATGGAACGTGGAAAAGGAAAGCAGCTACTGCCAACATGGTTTTTGGCTTTGGGGGTCATCCAGGCTTCACTGCTAAGCCATTGATGTCATTGACCAAGGGCATGCATTCAATCTGGAAAGGTTAACTCCCAATAAACATATTTGTTCTAGGTCAGTAAAATGAGTATGAGGATGACAGAGTCAGAGGTAGCAACTTTATAGTAAGTAGTTGCAAAGTCCCCAAAAAATCAATTTTAGGTAGTGAGTGCTGCCTTCAATCTGCCCATCACTTTCATCAACTTCCTGGATTTCCATTGTGCTTTGCATCTCTTTCCCTGTTGCTTGCTGTGATGCAATGTCGATTTCTCATGACTACATAGCCCATCATGCATTGCTTCCAGCAATGCATGATAATGCTACATTGTTCCAACATTAAGTTGTAGTTCAGAAGGCAGGCTCTCGAGAGTGGGGGCACAAGGAAGTGCATATTTACAGGGCTAAGTGAAACTGTCTGTGCATTGCGGAAATATATGCAATTGATATTGATATCAACCTGTTATAATCTGCTGCACAGCAATGCATTTGGCTTAGAACGAGACAGCAAGCACTAGGAACCAGTTAGACTTTACTGCAGTGCACACATGCAGACAGGAACATATGGAAAGCAGAAGGAAGAAGACAGAGTAGAGGGGTGATCTCATTAGTGAACTGCTGGTAATTTACTGTCCAGTCCCCAGGCTGGGGTGTGTACTTGATCAAGCTATGCTCTTGCTCAAGTGCAGGTCGATGACCTGGCTGTGCTGTCTGACAGGGGAGTCTGAATAATAAGACTGGTTAAACAGAATTACAGAACCAGTTCCCATATATCTGTTTCAGCTGTGCATTGGGATGTTTGTTGTCTGGAGTTCATTTTAAAAACACAATTTATCAAGATGCAACATCGCATTTGTCTAGAGCCTAAATAGTTTCTTCATTTTGGGTAAAGTAAAAACTGTTTTCTTTCTGTTTTATTCTGACATCCATGTCCTATTGGGGAGAATTTTCTATTTCCCTTGAATTTCCTGTCATGTAGACACAACAGGAAATGAGAGAAAATATCTCCTAATGCTGTCTTAGACGGTTGTCACTGGAACCAGAAGTCTCCCTATTAGAATATTTCCCTTTTACTGCTTTGGCTCTGACAAATCAAAATTTTGGATTTTTCCTCAGTTAAGTCCAGATGATGATAATAGTCACTAGAGCATATAGTGAGAATGAATCTCCCAAACAGGGGCGCAGACAGCAATAAAAATCTGACAGAGGTTCTATATATCCTAAAAATAAATACAAATATACGGTACCTTCCCCAGAATAATCCCCAGGTCCCAACGGTGAAGTTGGATTATCTGGATGACATTTGAGTTTACTGGGGAAGCATCAAAGGCTCATGTAAATGAATGCAATGTCATTTGAATATTTAGCAATTGCAAGCCTGTGAAAAAGTTGTTGTCATGCTAATTTGTGCTTTCCGCAACCTGACTTAATGTTATCTTAATGCTATGCTAACAATTTACACTAACTGTTTTTTCCCCCCTGTGTGTGTCGCAATGTAGTGCTGAAAGGGGGAAAATGCTCTCCTAAAATTAACATAAAAGTCACACTAATGTGAAAATAATGACAAGCGTAATGCGCTCTAAAACATGATGATAATATGTTATCATAATTCCTCTTAATCAACAAATACCAATCCGTATATCCCCTTGTCAGAATACCATAAAAGTGAATGCTAAATAAATAGTAATAACACAATCTTATTGCAAAAAAAGACATGAATAAAAAATCGGTGCACAAAAATGTGAAGTGAGTCCAGATCCCACCGGATCACAAATAATTCTTCAAACAGATCAGTGTCCACTCCAGAAGGAGAAAAAATCCACTTTGAAAAATAGGCCCAGATTTCTGTAATATATGTGTAAAAAGTCCAGAATGGTGCTCCCAACAAACACCAAAAGAAGCAAGCACAGTGCTCTGAAACTCTTCCCACAATCACCAGATTTAGATGGCTATAGATAAAGATAAGCCATATATATCGCTCAGTAGCAGATAATCCCAGACTCCAGAAGCTTGTCTCTGATGTTCCACCGTCAGGCATGCCACGGTAGTAAGTTGGTAAATCTACCCAAATATACCACCACTCTCACTTCGATCGGGTCCCGCAACAGCTCAAAACAATAGTCATCATATCTCCGATAGTGCAGTACGTTTTAAGTTTAAAACCAAGTTTATTCTAGAAACAGTTAAAATTGCACTTACACAACATAAGTTGCAAATAGCATTAAAAAATCCAACAGGTCCTTCACTCCTCGTGTACAATGGCCAACTGT